TGCCTTTGTGTCCTTAATTAAATAATTTTAAGATAAATCGTCAACTAGGACATATCTATTATTAGGACTTATTATACTGGATAACTGGTTCCGCAAATTAAGTAAACAAATTCAGAAAAAGTCTTTATTTATCACCTGTATAAATAAAGACTGTTTTTCTGAATTTGCTTACTTAATTTGCAGAATCAGTTATCCAGTATAATAATAAATATGTCCTAGTTGACATTTTATCATAAAATAATTGTTCTCATTCTCACTTATTGCTAATTTTTATTTAATAAAACAATTCAAAAAATGTTCAGGATCCAGTCTGTTTCTTTTCTTGTCACAAATTAAACTACATGTGCTGAAGAGACACTTTGTACATAGTGGCAGATACAAGGAGATACCATTGACCAAAACAATTTATTTCTTTAAACTTCAAACCATTGTTTTTAAAAACACTTATGACGACAAATATAATTTAACACATCATCTGCAATAGATCATCATGCACATGTTAATAAAAAGTACTTATTAATTATTCAAATATTTTTAATTTTTGAGTTAGTCCCCCTTTGGTTACTTCCAGATATATCACTGTGACTGTACTTTTGGAGATATTTGTAATACAGTATTCAAGTTTATTTTTTATCAACATAATATTCAAAATCCCTTCTAGTATTTGAGTATTTGCACCATCTCTAATTATAACGAAATTTTCTGTAATGTAGAAAAAAATTTTAAAAACAAATTAAATTTTTTTGTTTTCATACAATTGTAGTTGAATTGTTTATCTTTCAACAAAAGTGTTCACATTAGATGCATTCAGACACTTCACAACAAGAATCAAAATGCACCAATATGATTCTGAGAAGGGCCATAGTTCAACAGCTCTAGCTACATTCACAACCCATGATGATAATTAGTACTTCTAGAGTTTGTGTATCTTGATAGTTTGTAACTTGATAGCGTAATGTAGTGCTAGTGTTTGTATACCTTGATAATTTATGCATGTTCAGCATAACACTAAACATGAAATTATCAAGGTACACAAACACAGTATAAGGAAGAAGGGTCTCTACAATAATACTATAAAATTTTTTTAAAGATGAAGCTGATAAATGCAGCTAAAAACATTTGTTATTTCATCAGTTTGATAATCTCTAATCCAGCAAATCAATAATCACTTTATTGTATATGTTCAATTTGGCTGTCTTAATGCAGTTCTATTCAAATATATTTTATATTTATTTATACCTTTGAAAAGCTTTCTTTCCAATTGGTATTTCCAATATTTCGAAGACATTCTCTTTCTTCAATTTTATAATGCCTAATTTTCTGATCTTCTAACCATACAACAAGACTTTGTAAATCTGTAGAGGCTGGAAAATAAATACTTTAATTTCAATACTTTATTACTAAGTAAGAATTAATCTATCTTTAAATTTTAATGCTTTCTACAAGGCAGGTTCAATAAAAAACCAGAAAAGTACCATGAAGAGTTGAGAGGATGAACAATAGCATAGTAATTTTGACACATGAAACTTCAAAGTCAGAAGCAATAGTAAATTCAACTGGCAATCTTGCACTGCACCCAGGTATATGAGTAGAGTTCTAAAGTTCAAAAACAGCCACAGTTCTGTGGAAAATTCTCCACAGCTGCAATCACAACAACGAATGCCACAGAGAATCTTACTGTCATCTTACTGTACACCTGCACTTGTCAATGGATGTCAATCAGTTTTTGTCAAAAATCGGGCAACATTACACTTCTCTTTCTTCACGTCCCGCCGGAGAGGCACCACCATTTTATAGGCCCGTCATCTCACATTCCCACGCATCAAAATGCGTCACAGTTACTATTACCTCTGACTCAGAAGTTTCGTGTATCAAAATTACTACACCATTGCTCACTCTCCCAACTCTAACAGCATTTTTCCAGTTTTTCACGGAACTTATCTCATACACAAAATCATCATTAGTCACATTTCATATTAAATCAATATACAGCAAATATGCAAAACAAATCACATTAAAACATTGCCTAGCGAAGTAGATTTAATACAGACAGAGAAGCAAGCAGACAGTCCATTTCAAACCAAACGGGCTACGTCACCGTCTCACTTACCCAGCCATATTAAAGCTATCTTGCCAGGCAATGCGCCCGTCGAATAAAGCGAGAGAATAGCAAGAATTACGGTTTAATTAGTCATTTATCAGTAAATAATTCACATAAACCGACACGTTTTGTAAACTTACACTCATTGTAGTATAATTATATGCTATAGACATTACACTGAACTTTTAATAAATTATACATTGTGTATTTTACATAGAATATCTTTTTACATAAATTAACTATCTACAATACGAATGTAAAGAAAATAAAAGGTACACCCAATAATAATGGTATAATTCGATATTGATTCCAAAGAAATAATAAATTAGAAATAACGAAAATATTTTATTTATTTTTACTCATTGCTGGTGGCATCAATCGAAGATACGAAATAGAAATCGTTTGTAAATTGACATAGAAATTTTAATATTGTCCGGTCTATACGTAATACCTTAATTCGGATACATATTCTTTAACAGTCATAACTTACAATTTACATCGAAGTCGTCAGTTTTATGAAATCCCAACGCACTTAACTTCCTCTTGAACATCTTCCTCCTGCTCTTCTGCTTTCTTGCCAAATGACGTCACCGATCAAAAAT